TTAGTCTACCAACAGAAAGCTGCTTCCCCTTGACCCAGGGAGTCGGGCAGAGAACAGGTGTTTTCCTATCTAGTCTGCCCTCTGCCATGCTCAAGATGAGATCACTTGCCACAGCCCTTTCAAAAGGTCGCTATTTTAATTTTTTTATGGTGGGTGAAATATACATAACATGAAACTGACCGTGTTAACTGTTTCTGAGCTCCGTGGCATTGCAGACATTCCCAGTGCCATGCGGGCATCACTACCGTGTATCTCCTGACATTTCTTCTTTCCAAATGAAACTCCGTACCCACTGGACAGGAACAGTCTCCTCGCTCCCTCCAGCCCCATTTTCCTTCCATGAATCTGGCTACTCTAAGGGCCTCGATAAGTTGAGCCATATATTTGTCCTCTTTCTTGTGTTTGACTGATTTCACTTAGCATTATGTCTTCAAGATTCATCTGGAATTTCCTTCCATTTTAAGGCTGGGTAATATTCCACTTCTATGTACCCTACGTTATCATTATCCATTCTTCTGTTGATGGACACTTGGCTTGCTTCTACCTTTTGGCTACTGTGAATAATTCGGCTGTGAACTTGGCTATGCAGACATGCCTATGAGACCTGCTTTTGGTTCAGAGTATGTACCTGGAGGTGAAATTGCTGCCGTATTGCTTGATGAATTTTTGCACAAAATTGGGACAATGTTCCAAGACAACTATGTACAGACCCCAGGGACCACGTTCTCCCCTAGCACAGTGGAGGCACACATGGAAGTTCCAAGAGGTAGTAGGGCTCCCATCTCTGGAAGTATTGAGGGTGATATTGTAGCCACATCAATCAACACCTCTCCTGGAGTCCAATGACCAGGGGACGGACCTCCATCTTTTGTGGTCTCTGAAACCATCTATCATCGTGATAGCTCAGGTCACATCGATATGTGATTTATTCTCCAAAACAGAAGTCTGCCACCACCCACCCCGCCGTGACTTTGTTTTTTTCACCTCTTCCTGTGGTCTGAATTCCCTCACTCCGTTAATTAGCATGCCTAGCACTGAAGCTGAAGACTTTAATCAGCGTGGGGTGCTTTTAATTAATCGTGTGGCTCTGCATCTGGAGTGGTTTGTGTTCCAGGGTCAGGAGAGAAGCCGAGGTGGGGGATGGAGTGATGGCTTGGCTTTGTGTTCGATGTGGGTGGAGAGTCCAGGTATTTAGGGAGAGTGAGTCATGGGGGCACGGTGGCTAAGAAGCCACCGAGAAAAGTTTGAAAGGTAACCAGGGACATTAGAGTACACATTTGTAGAAGACAAGTGACTCAACCAAATCCAGTTTTCAAAAGTAGTTTAAAGGGTCAGGAAAGTCTCTGATGCTTTCCAGAATGACCCATAGAGGGAAGGGAGGCAAATATGTGGATTGGGAGAGGTCTGGCCAGTGTGAAAGTCATGCTCAAGAGCTCTGCCTGGTCATGGACTTTGCAATCTCCCTGGTCCTTCCCTTCCTTGGGGACATACTAGAAAAGGGAGAGAGGTGAACCTAGTTGTCACGTTGTGATGGCTGTCCTGTCGGCTCCTTGGGTTTAGCATCCATGCATTTGAAAGAGTGGAGAAGACCTACATCAAGTTCAGAAGTGAGTGATAAAAAATGATGGGATGCACAGATAGCAAGGTCTTCCAAGGGAAGTTTAAAGAAAGTAGGGTTGTTTGCCTCCAAGAAGAGAAAGCTCTAGATGCCCAAGTAAGTCATCAGGGCCTAGTGTCTGGAGAGTGGCACAATAATGAAGTCATTTTTGTAGTTGTCCATGGAAACTAAACCAGGGAGAAGGGATGGCACCGGGCAAGATTTTTGTCTGGGCATTAAAAAGGAGCAAGAATATCAGAAGTGAAAGGCAGTTTAGAACTGACCCATGCCGTCCCTCATTTCCCCGATGACTGAAAAGAGGCTCAGAGAAAGACCTGCTCAATTTCACCTGGGGATCTGGGGACAAAGCAATGGCTAGACTCCGACTGTCATAATGACTACCTAGGACTCGTACCCTGGTCGCACATAGAAGAATCTAGATGAAATCAAAGAACAACCATATGACTGTCCTGGGAACAAGCGAATTACTGAATGAGTCAGGGAGCTCAGAGAAGCCCAGGGTTTCATCTGAAGAGTGACATAGTGAATGGCTTCAGGGCAGATGTCATCATTCAAGGAGGAGACGACAGGATCAAGGTACTCAAAAAGCAAGTCTTCCAGGTCTGTTCAGGTCACAGTGAAGCTCATGAGGCCCAGGAGGACTCTGAGCAGTTCTCTGTGACGTGACAGGGAGGTAAGGCGACATTGATGGCAAAGATATCATCGCTCATAACCTGGGAGTCATCTGTGCTTTGGAAAACCCTGTGAATTATGGAGGATTTTATATCCATGTTTGGGGATGATCAACATAAGACTCAGAGACAACAAGATCTCATTGCTGGTAAACAGCGAAACCAGGCTTTCTGTCTTGTTCTACAGACTTCTATGTTCTTTCCAACCAAAAAAAAAAAAAAAGACTCCTGTTTAAAATCATGAGGGGAAGGATTTTATGATTCCAGGGTATTGACATTATTAAACACCAGTTGCAAGCTATTTTTAGGTTGCAAATGTTCTTAAGAATATCAGATTCACCAAACAGCTGGCTCTTTACTTAAAAGTGGCACACCCTGGAATCCCAGGGCACATTAGAACGTGTCAATAGGAGAAACTGGGGAGGATGTTAATTAAATTTAGACCAAGAAAATGCTTTTGATGGAACAAGCCATGATTTTCTCTTTAATCTCATGCAAAGTATGGAGAGCCAGGCCAGCGGCTGAGCAGACGACAGCGCTGTCTGTGGCTTGCGTGGTTTCCAGCTTTCCCCATCTATGGCCCCTCTTCTTGTTTTTCCCCTCTGGGTAGCATGTTTTGAAAGATTCTGTCTACTAAACAAACTGCCTTTATTATGGAATATTTCCTATTTTTAGTATGGGACACATATGATGAGCATGTACAAAAACATAAAACAGCAACAAGCAACATTCGACAAGCAACAGCAACATTTGACTCTTGGAAATAGAATAGTTTGGGGGCCTCATTCCCACTCTTGAATTCCCAGGAGTCCAGATGCTCTGGGCTGGGCTGACATGATGGTGCTCACTTCAGGAGCTGGGGGAGAAATTGAAGAGGCAACGGGAACAGGGGAACTTCCTGGCTGCATGCAGAGCCAGTGGGACAATTCCTAAGGAATCCATGGTCAAGGTCAATTATGAAGATAGCAAGGTCAGGTGTAGGCAGAGACTGCGCATGGTCCACATAGATCACAAGAGCAGTCATAAATAGATGGAAAGATAAAATTCAAACTATGCAAAAAAAAAAAAAAAAAAAACAGAAAAGGGCCTTCAGGGCCAAGGGCAAAGCTGTAACAACCAGAGGTGGGTGGGGGACTAAAAGGTAATTTGGAAGAAGTGAAAATGCAGGATGGTCATTAGGAAAGATCAATGTGTATTTTGGAGAACAAAGAAATGGAAAGGGAATAAGGAAATTAAAGGAAAAGAGATCGTGTGGGACTTGGAATTAATTATTAATTAATTCCACAAGAGAGTCTCGAGACTAATTGAGCGGGCTCTGGTGCCAGTTTGCCTGCGTGTGAGTTACAAGTGGCCCCTGCCAAGAGCACGTAATTTTACAGAGGCGGATGCCTATGAAACAGCAGGGTAAACACAGCCTCCGTGTTCACTCCCGAGCAGAGAGGGCTCAGCCAGGTCAGCACGCCTTACAGTTTTCTCTGTTCACTGTCCCACGGCTAGGAACTACAAATGACGGCCATGGCACACGCTCCTGGCTCAACCAGAAGAGGAGCAGGGGACCTTCCCCTGAGATAGATAGATAGATAGATAGATAGATAGATAGATAGATAGATAGATAGATAGATAGATCAATCCCAAATAGAAAATGATGATTTAAAAAAGAGAGAGAGAAAATTTTTACAAATAAGAAATTGGAAAAAATTTGGAGAATAAAGAGCAAGGCTCTAAAAACAAAACTCATGTAAAGACACACAAGGGCAAAATTATACTAGGGGGAAAAAAATGACATTCAAAGGATAGTTGAGAGCATCCAGGAAATGGAAGCATTCAGGGTAAGCAAAAATGCTATGCAGAATATTTTGCATTAAAAAGCTGCTGGTGACGGGCTGGGGATGGGGCTCCAGCGGTAACACGCTGGCCTGGCATGGGCGGGGCACTGGGTTCTGTCCTCAGCACCACATAAAATGAAGATGTTGTGTTCACTGAAAAACAAATATTAAAAAATTCTCTCTCTTTTAAAAAAAAAGCTGCCGGTGAAAGCTAATGTAATGATTTCATAGGCGTGTGAGCGGGAGGAGAAAGAGCAGCTGTTGAAAGCACCACATTGAAAACCTTGCAGACCATTTGGCCAACAGTGTGGGAAAGAAAAAGTGGGCCAGGAATAGCCATGGCGTGCAGGGCAGGGCGGGGCTGTTAAAAGGCCAGGAGAAAGAGAGACAGAACCTGATCTGAGTAAGGTGCTCTCTGGAACTTGAAAATACTGAGACCTGCAGGAGGGGCTGGGAAGAGAGTGCTTCCTTACACTCTGTCAAATGTGAAGCAAACGATGGAGAATAAACATTTAGGTTTATCACACTGATGGAAGCAAATATGTGACAGATTGAATGTTCACAGAGATTTCCGTTTGTTGTTTCACTAGTAGGAAAATTAAATATGCATTACGTAAGTATCTGTTATGGCAATTTGTTGTGAACTCTGTGGAGTCTGTGTTCCTCGAGACATTTAAGAACGTGGTACGTGGTTGTCTCCTGGATACCATGTGACCACCTGATCCAACAGGATCACTCAGAATCCCTTTGCTTCTGGGTCTCTAGGCACCTTTACGGTCCTACAGCGTTTTAACTAATGCAGTGATGTTAGAATAGCATCCCTTCTAGGGGACCACTGGACGCTCTGCACATCTTGACCACTTTCTCCCTGTCGTGCTGTCCTAGCTCACCAGAGTTCCTGTGGAGTCCTGCGGTCAGTATCGGAGCTGCGGGGATTGCCTTGGCTCCGGTGATCCCCACTGCGGCTGGTGTGTGCTCCACAACACGTGAGTACTGCAGCCCCTTCCTCCTGCCTCCCACTTCCTTCCAGGCATTTCTTTCCTCCTCCTCTTCTCCATCATCACGCTCTTTTCTTTCTTGCATGCTTTGCAAACTTTATCTCCCTTTATTTGTTCTTTCTGGCTTCACTTAAAATTCTCCAATTCTCATAAGAACTATAGAGAAACGGCGGTATGGGGATGATGACAGGTAGGGCTGTGAATGGCACTCTGGGTAACTGTACCCTGGAGGGCCAGAGGCCGGGAGGTTTCTGGACTTCCCTGAATGATCCGTCTGGAGGCTGACTTCCCAGGACTGAATCCCAGGACAAAGGCATGGGGCTATTTTCCTCAAGTTCACAAGGACCACCAAGTCCTGTGCAGGGTACATGGTGTCCGTCAGGTGGTTCTGCATCCACTCAACATGATCTTTGATATCTTCACAGAATTTTCTGGCACTTGAGCATGTTGTTCAAGTTTTAGCACCCAGGACCCTCTCTCTGCCATCATAACATCCCTTAACTGGCTGGCGATGCACTTAGACTGCAGTCATTGGGCCACTGAAGACTGGCCCAAGGGCTGGCACCTACCTAGTGCCTCCTTTTGTATTTTATTTTTTTAAATGAACTTAGGATTGGGCAAGTTAGGCCTCACCAGCCACATTGAGATCATGTAGAACTGTTTTACTTTACTTTAGTTACTTTGGTGCTGAGGATGGAACCCAGGGCCTGTGCATACCAAGCAAGCCCCCCACCGCTGAGCTGCACCCCCAGCCCCTAGATGCATCCTTTTGTTCTGGCTCCAATTCTAGAAGTGGAGAGGAGGCAGTAATATTATAGGTGGGACGTACCATACCCAGAACTAGCAGAGACAGAGAGCTGGAGGTCTTTCTGGGGACCGAGACCCTTGACATCACTACCTAGAGAAACAGCCGTAGCTGCACACCCCCCCACCAACAGCGATTGGCCCCAGTCCAGCTATTGGTGCTTTAGATCAACACCCAAAGTTTCAGACTTTCTGAGTTGGACACAAATATTATAAGTGAAGGAGAAGACTTTAGTCTTCCCACTGACACTGGAACTGTAGGTAACCAGTGACGTTTACCGGTCACCGTGAAAAAGTGGAGAATCTCTCACTTTGTCGTCTCCATCTGCCTTAAGGAGGAACACCCCCTTAAATTCTGAAAGTTAGAAATGCACTCCCCGATTCTAACACGAGTTCTCTAAGGGAACAGACACCTTCCCCATCTTTGAGCGACAGTCTCAGGCACAGCGAGGCCTTGCGTTCTGCGAGGGAAGGTCTGAAATCCCTTAGGTGTGTTGTGTTAGCAAACCATGGAGACCACTGAGCTACCCTGAGGCCTATGAAGTCAGAGACAGATCAAGGGCTGCAGGCAGGGTACTCCAGGATCACCTGGTAACAGAGCGGGGGAGTCTAGGAGAGACCCATGGAAAGAGGCTGGCAAGACTGCCCTCAGTATGCAGGTGGGCTCCGACCCACCCGGGAGAGCGCCTTACATGGCACTTTGCCAGGGGCAGGCAGAGTATGCTCTCCACCCCACACAGGGAGCCCTCTGGGGAGTGACTTGGGTTCCAACCCATTGCTTTACTGAGGGGCTTGAAGCCACCTGGCTTTTGAGGTGGATCAGCTGCTCCCACATGGGACAGGCACCAGTCAAAGGCATTCCAAAGAACAGGCTCCTCTCCAATACTGCAGTCCCGCGGGTTCCACGTCAGTGTCTGCCACAGTGCTGCCCCAGCCCACATGGCACTGGACCCGGAGAGCACTGCGTGCTCGTAGGCTCTGAGAAAGTGGCAGAGAGACTACGAATACTCCACCTCCCATCCCTCTCAGCAGGAGTGAGAGCAGAAGGTACCAGACACTCCTTCCTGTGCGGCCTTTGTTTCCTCGCCTGTCCCACACTACTGTCTCCTGTCAAGTGGCAGAAAACAGGGGTGAACTGAGACAAAGAAGAGTAGGGGCTGTCTGTGAAGGAGGCCATCAGGCTACACCAGGGCCAGCAGCTCTATAGGAACTGAGGTCCACCACCAAATCCAAACTCCACACCCTGGCATCCATTCTCCTGGCCCGTGAACTGGAGATGGTGATGTTTGACTTGCTGAATTACTGGAGACTTTGTAGGTGAACATGCTGGGTGACCATGGAGCCTTGTGAAATGTCCGGTGGGGTGGGGCAGGGAGCTTGACAGGGCCGGGGAAGGTCTGAGGGCCCAAGCACCCTCCCTCTTTGACTTTGGTTTGCCCCGGTGATTTTCCAGATGGCATGATTAACGGCATGATTCTCTTCCTGAGGGTGACACAGTGTCAAGCTCATTCCTCTAAACGGTGGACACCCCTGCTGGGTTCTGCTCACCTGGCATTGTGTCTTACTCTCTAGCCTGACATTGTGTCTTATCCTGAAGGTGGCACCTGGCTGGCCTAAGCGCCAGCCCTTAGGAAGTCAGGCTCACAGAGAATCAGGCTGCACTAGGGTTCTTCTCTTCAGGGGGTACCCAGCCCTGAGCTGCTGCTTCCAGGGCCCCTCCTCACCCAGAAGCCACAGTAGGAGCCAGCAAGTGAAAGGGATGGGGTGCTCTGGAAAGATTCCTGGGGTGGCCAGTTCTAGTTCTTACACCTTGAAAAACTGTGGGGCTTTAGGCTACTATAGTAGATCCTCACTGTATGCAGTCACTGTGTCCTATCAAGTTCTGGGAATCTGAAGTAGCAAATACGACATTGTTGCTCTTACAAGGAATACAGGCTTGGGTTTCCCGGAAGCCCCCAGTCACGGCATTTTCATCAATGGATGAACGCATAACTTTGTTTTATGTGTGTTTCTGTTTAGAGACAGCTGACTTAATATGAAGCATTGATTCATTAACATTGAACTTCTGACCAACAGCATTGTAAATTCCTAGCTGAATGAAGTTCATCTAACAAGTGCATTTCCTTCATAAGTCACACCATGGCCTTCATGTGCTTAGAAACACTAGACAGCACTTCAGCACAGCACTTAGGCCATTTTAAACAGTGAAGTCGCAAAAAAAAAAAAAAAGCACAAAACTTGAAAAACGTAGCACTAAATAAACCTCAATGGACATTGCTGTATAATGTGAGGGCTGGGATAAAAGGCAGAGCCTCACCCTGTCCAGCCTCATCTGGGAGCATATGCACCAGGTGGCTCAACTCTTTAGCCAATCCTTGCATGTCCATAAGGAGCTCAAAAGTGCCACTAGTATTTGTTTTGGGGTCACAAATGAATGCTAATGATGAGCTGAATTTGCAAATATGGAATCCAAAAATAATGAGGATTGACCATAACTCACCAAAAAACTCAGCACCCCCCAAAGATGGAGCACAGTGTTTCTCATGGTGGTGGCTGGAGGATAAAAGGAGGTAATGAAAGCAGTTGTGAACATCCAAGGTGCTCTGCCGGGGTGCTCTGTTCTGTGTAACCTTGAACCTGCTGGTTAAGTGAACCACCTGGTGAGGGGAGACAATGGTGTGGGGCCCCAACTCCCTGGGGAGGACACAGCTCTAGAGCCGCCTCAGGCCCAGGCGCCTGCCCACCAAGACGTTAGTAAGTCCATTCTTCACCCTCCAAGAATCAGCCACCAAGAAGGTCCCTGGGTCTTCTGAGATGTTTTCAATCAAGATAGAATTTTAAGTTTTTACAGGATAAGGTGCACAGATCCTAAGCTCGAACACGTGTGAACACCCAGGTCACCCAGCTCTAGAGCATTTCCTTCCTCCAGAACGTCCTCTCCTGCTCCTCAGACATTGCTTCTCCTGGCCTGCCCTGCTCTCCGTTTTGGGGGGGTACAACCTAGATGTGCATGGCTGAGAGAGATGATGAGGAAGTTGACAGGCAGGAGAAGGCTAGGGACAAGCAGGATCACCGAGACGAGGAGCCCTGTGGACCAGAAAGGGAACAGTGTGGAAGGTGTTCTTGCTCCCTGGAGTTCCGGGTCCAACACACACACACACTCTGGTGCCTAGATCTGCCCCTCCCTCCGTGCCAGACTCAAGGATACAAAGGTGGTGACATTAGATCACCTATGCCCTGAAGTTTCTTGGGAACCAACCTCTACTCTAGTCACAGAGTGGGGACTGCATCCTGTACTAGAATCCATGATATTTGTTAAGCTTCCATCATAGGAAGACCTTGTGCTAGGTGACCTTGTCTCTTACTGAGTGTCCCCAGCAAAGCTGACCTTCAGGAAGACTAGGACAGAGAATAGATGAACAAGTTCCTTGAGCTGTCAAGGTAACTCCCTTTCCCTAGTGGCTTTTGCCAAGTTTCCCTATGGTCATGGGGAGCAAAGAGGTGGTAGCCTGGTGGGAAGAACAGGACAACAGATGGGGGGTGTGTGTGTGTGTGTGTGTGTGTGTGTGTGTGTGTGTGTAAGAGACAGAGGCAGAGCAAGCAAGGAAGAGAGGGAGGGTGCTGGAGAGAAAGAAAGAGAAGGGAGACAGGGGAAAAGAAGACTAAGAGCCCGAGGGTGGGGCCTCTGGGAACAGGTGGCCCAGGTGGCTGAATGGGCTTTTGTACTGGAGAGGTCACGGGAGGGTCGCAGACAGAACATGTTGAAGAAATGTTCCTGTAATTTAAATCCTCCCTCCTGTTATTCCCTCTCAATTATTGCGAAGCTCTATTTGCAAGCCTGGTGGTGAAGAGGGTCACCTTTGCTGCCCTCTTCTGCGGTCCCTGACCCCAGCCTACAGGCTTGCCCTTTCTAATGGCAATGACAACTCAACAAAGCTCGGTATTTATGTGCTGAGACTTGAGCCTCTATTCCCAGGGCACCCCCACCCCCACCCGGGTCCCGTATTGAGCCAACCTCTTTTGATTTGGGTGGGAGTAAAAGAAAGCCCACATCTGGGTCTGCCCCCCCCCCAGCTGTCTCCTGTGCTGGATCTGGAACATTCCCTCCAGGGACCAGGCTTGGCAGGTCCGCAGCCCCCTCCCCATCTTACCCTTGGCTCCATGCCCAGGCCAAGAAGCCTATC